CAATTGTAAGTAGTTTTCTATCGTGGACATATATTTAGTTTTTTTAAAAACTAATTAAAATTAGTATCTTAGAATTCTGAATTGTGAACGGGTTTTGCCGGAAATTTGTATTTATATAATATTGATGTGGACGTTTTATTTTCATGAATATTTTACAGAAGTTTTGTGTGTAGTTTTTATAAGATTTTTATAAGATTTTAATAAAGAATTATTATTATTTTTTATAATAATAATAATAATAATAATTTGAATTATAATTATAATACTTATATAGTTTAGTATGGGAAATAGGACTGAGTGGAGTCAGGAGACCACATAGCTGGAGTCCAACAACAACATCGAAGAGCTCGCGGGGCATGGCGTGATTATTGTACCATTACCTAGGTATATATGACGGACACTGCCCCATTACACTGTTATAATCATAATTAGAACAGCATTTAGTAGTGGTAGTAGGACTAGAAATAGGACTCAGATTGGAATCAATTCCGTCTGTAATCATCAGAGTGATTAGAGAAAACTGTTTCTCAGTAGTCCTCGGATGGGCTACGACTATTTAGAAAAAAGGCAAACTGAATAGTATCCAAAAGTCGCGCCTCCTGTTTTGCAGACGTAAACGAGTGTGCAACAGGAAAACACAACTGTAACGGAAGCTTCATATGCCATAACACCAGAGGATCCTTCTTATGTATCTGCAGGGAGCCAGGATATTTCTGGAACGGCGTTAATTGCACAGGTAAATATCTTCAGTACTTTGAGATTGTAGATTCCTCTGATAAAAAGGCCGCTGCGTGATCGGGATCTTTCATGCTGAAATCATTGTCATAATCGTCATCATTGATATCGCAGTTATTTGCCCTTTTTCGTTGATAGCTATTTTAACGAAAAAAACAAAATCAAACGAGAAAGGTTTGTGCAATTCCTTAGTTTAAGTTTTGGAAGAACATGAAGTTTCGACATGATCTTTTAGGCTTAGTAATACAGGCAACATTTTCGCTTAACTTGTTGCGCAACATTGTTGCGTTCCAAGTTGAAAAGCGTCGTTTTCCATCGATTTTAAGAGCGCAAATTAACGTTGCAGCCTTTAAAATTAAACTGCCTGTCGTTTTGGACCATGGCTGTTTGTACTTTTGATTGTGTCTTTAAATGAATATTATTTCAGTAGCTTTTAATGCTGGTCTCATTTCGGTGGCTCAACACCAACATCATATGTCTTTAAGAATTGTGTAAGTAAAAAAGCACGACATGTCCCCCCCACCGCCCCAATGAACATTTGCGTCTCTGGGTCAACGGGGAAGAAGCTGACGTTGGGACCGACAAGGTTTTTTAGTCAGTCCTTCTTGTACCATCTTGCCTGCCAAGTTTTCCACAATGGTCTGCCTGAGTATCTCTCTGAAGAGCTAGAGAAAATTCAGCGCCGTGCACTTAGAATTATTTTCCCAGATTTAGGCTATCAAGAGGCTCTCAAAGAGTGCAATATTACCACCCTCCATCAACGGCGCCAATGGCTGACAGAGCGCCTATTCAATGAGATTAAGGACAACAGCCTCCACAAATTACATGGCCTTTTGCCGCCACGTAATCTTAGTACTGTAGCCTTAAGGAGAAAGCGCGCTTTTAACGTGCCTCTTTGTAGAACAAATAGACTAATGAATAGTTTTATCATGCATAACGCGGCTATTTTCTAATGGTTTTATTGTAAATTCGTGGCTATTTTCTTAAATTTCATGACGTAGTATCTTTGTTCCTTTGTTTTATTTATTTACTGTTATTGATTTATAATAGTTAGTCTTAGTATTCAACGTATTGTACACTCCGCAATCCAGCCCTTGGGCTGCAATGGATTTTTAATAAAGCTATCTATCTATCTATCTATCTATCTATCTATCTATCTATCTATCTATCTATCTATCTATCTATCTATCTATCTATCTATCTATCTATCTATCTATCTAAAGACACCAGGTAGCTACAGCAGCGATAGAACATGTAAAACACAAGAAACCACTTCTTTTTGCAATCGTTAAGGTCTTTACGTTACTCTCCTTTTATTTTTAGTGCTCAGATTGGACTCAGATATATTGAAAACAAATTCTTCTTATTTTTACCATCTGGGAAAATTTCTACAGCCTGCAATTGGGTACAATTCTCGCTGGCTACTGTGCTGGCGGGCTACATTGCACGGCTGGGATGTCTATGAACAGTTTCACAGACGCTGCGATGGAAAAAGAGACACAGTTACTATAATAAAAAAGGGTAAATACGTTTTTGGAGGTTACACGGACATTCCTTGGGGTAAGAAAATTGCTTGCTCAGTAAATAAAAGCAAACAGCAATAAAACGTAAAGTTGAGCCAGACCAGTCTTCTTAACTATTTATACTGCTGTAAGAACTAGGGAGGCTGGTTGTTACGTATTAACTATTCTGTAAAATTGCAGATACGTTGTAAAATTGCAGATACGGTTCCTGGCGAGAATATGCATGGACCATAGTATTGACTCAAAGATTACCGCAAGAAAGTGTAAACTACCGTATTATAATAACTCACAGCAATGTTTACGGTAAAATCCTTTATATTTACCTGACGGGATGCCCGTCGAATGGAGAGTTAGTAATCAAATGTTTTCTATCATGAACGATATCAGATATGTCATCTTTCGGAGAATAAAACAGGTTTGACCCTCCCCAATTGGTAAAAAATTTACTAAGGACCCTCCCTCCGACGCCCCCTCCCCAATAAAAAAACGTACCTTCCCTTGGTGTTTGTCTCCGAGGGCCTGAAGTACTGACCCTACTCGAGGATGAGACAAACAAAAACCTACAAAATGAGACCCCCAAAAAAACACCAACTAAGAATTTAAAGGTAACTCATACCCTGCGTGAGCAGAAGGCCTTTTCGTAAATTGTCAATCACACGCGAAGAAAAGAGAGTGTGTATACAAACGCCGAAGAAGTCTTCATTAAGTCGCTTTCATGATACTCTAAGGTAAAGTTCAGCTAACCGACAATTTTTTTTCTCGTGTAGCTGGACATTTACAATTGTAGATTCTTAAATGTTAACCAATTGATAACGGTACCTTATCTAAGAGTCACACCGGGAACTCAACACTAACAAGGGAAAAACTGATTTAGTATGGAAGAATAAGACCCTCAAATACCATACTTTTTCGGGCGTCACATACCTACATGTATCTAGCCAAAATATGGGAGAACCCCATCCCCCCACTTCCAAGAAGTCAAGTTGAAGTTTAGTAAATTGAATCTAGTTTAATACCTACTGCAGCTATAATCATTTCTGCACAAAAGAGGTATCAAACTCCTTATGATCCCGGAATCGGTTCAATCAGGCCCTGTTTGTAGGAGGGAGAGGGGGAGGGGGTTCTTATCCCTTATTCCTAAACGTTGAAAGAACGTTACTACTAAAAGTCAGGGAACACGCAGGGGGAGGTGCTGGGGGAAAAACTTGCCCCTTTCCCCGCACTTTTTGGGGGAAATAAAAAAAAATGTTTGCCACAAATTTTTTTTAGTTACATTCATGTTAAAAATAAAGAAGGTATAACTGTGGCTGAAAAGATGCAATATAGGCATTGTGATTGTTATGGCATTGCAAAGGCTCGATTAATCCGTTTCCAGAGGCGACTTTTCACGCGTGTAAACCAGCGGCGATTTCACAAAGACTCTTCGCGAGCGCTAACAAAAACACAATAACCTTGAAGCCATTGTTTCGTGGGTTTTGCGAATATATTAAAATGGTTTTTCTTGGCGGCAAAGATATTCCCACCTTATTATATCCAGCTTGCGATCCTATAACCAATAAAACTGTTCTCACTAACTGATGAACAAGGAGTCGACTATTCGTGACGTCAAGATCAGTTCTTAAAATCATTTCTTCAGAATGAAAAGCGTAAGGTCATCCCCCGGGCTCCTACGTAGGCGAAAGCAGCACCCTCTGCGCTTAATGGCCGTAAGAGCTTTAGAATGGCCTTAACTGACTTATAATGATAAGTATATATTATAACGAGCAAAATCTGCAAAACAGGCGGTAAGGGGTAAAAAAGAGAAAAAGGAAAGAGGAGAAAAATAAGTGTCGATCATAATTAATGTAGAACCATGATGAACTTTCATTACTCCCTAAAACAATTCAATTATCCCCAAAATTATTTTGTCAATTATCCCTTACTGGTTCCCTTATCCCTAAGGAAAAGGTCTGAAAGGTTAGTTACATCACATGTCAATGCAAATAAGAAATGCATTATCATTGACGTTTTCCATCTCTGTATATCTGTCTTAAAAGGCTATGTCCATTTTCATAACTAACTGTAAGGAGTAGCAATACAATAAACAAAGGGAGGAAAAAAGAAGAAAAAAAGGAAAGTTAAAAAAATGTGTGATTCCATGACACTCATGGTTCTTATTAAATTTGTTTTGTTTTAGGTTATGGTAATTCATTTAAAGTCAATAACAAAAATATAAATATAAATAAAATTTAAACTAAGGAAAATACACTAAAGAGTATAACTACACCACAGAGTGTACTCAAAAGTTAATACTCACGTTTTGTTGGTTTGTTAGAGTCCAGTGGTTGGTTTAGCTATGGCTCCACTCGGGAGGCGTTTATTTTTTCAATTAGCAATAAAGAAGAACTGGATCCCTTTGTGAGTGAGGTGAGGAGGCCAGACATGGCAATTCACAAGTGGTCAAGATATGGTCCATGCTTTGGTTATAACATCTGGATTGATAATAATGCCAACGGTAACAGCTTCTCATTCGCAGGCCTTGACGGGTACTACCCTGCTCCGGCTGCAGCGCAGGACCCGAGCACAATCCTGGCCGGGACTTATTACTTCTCACCTGATGAGGTGGAGGTATTTTATCCTGACCCTACTCAATAAATATAAAAAGAACCATTTCATTATTTAAGGCCAAAAAATATGCAGCTATATTAACATACTTACGACCTTCAAAAAAATGTACATCCCCAATGGATATTTCTCGACAAC